GGATTGCATTATAAAATATGGTATCTTGATATATTCATAACTTTTGTTCTTATTTCTTCATTACGGAATTACATTTTTGTACCAGAAAAAATTTGCGTTACAAACCTACTTACGTAATTTATATGAGTGCATCTAATTATAAAATAACAGAATCTTAGGTCTTTCTGCATCATATTCAGCATGTCTGATGATGAAAAAAATAATATAAGGAAATATATAGGATTTATAAGCATGCATAAATAAGAATTATAGTATTTTTTTCTTATTATTTTTTTTTTTAATTTCCCCTTTGTTATGCGTAAGTAAACTCTCATGGAATTAATTATTTTATTATTTCGAAATATTATATATATGAAAATTTCGTTTTAATAATAATAAAATTATCTGACAGTACTTTGCTTGCACCAAAATGATAGATATAGGAATACATTTTAACATGATTTAAGATTTGATAAGTTAATAATACACTTAATCTACCAATCTTAATTAAGATTGCATAGTTTTGAATTAACTTCGTTGTAGAAGTATGCAGGCCACTGTGGAAATAGATTTCATAATTTGTCAGTCTTTAACTTGACTTACAGGTTATTTTCTTTTAACATTTAGCACTCTATATCTACTGGAGACTATGACTCGACTTCAACGTCACTGATCATGAAATACGAGAGATCATGATACCTTGCATTTCTATTCAAGTTAAATAACAATCATCACCAGTAATTTTTATCTTTTTTTTTCTGATTCTTATGTAAATATTTCTCGAAGAAATTCATTATTTTAATCATGTTTACTTAATTTATTTGTCAGAGTTCTAGAAATTCTTCAAAATTAGAGATACTCATGCTAATGAATACTGAAATGGTAAATATAAGGTTCGTACAAGTTTCGATTATAAATCTAATAACTAAGTTTCAAATTTTAGAAGAAAACAAATTTCTCCGAAGATCTATGGCTATATTTTCTCCTTTTATTTTGTACTGATTAAACATTCGTTGGGAATCACCGTACAAGGAAATGATTTATGTGGAGTCATTTATTTTGGTAATGAATGATGATTAAAAAAAAAGTCATTATTCAGCTCCAAACTTATTAAATAAAGAATTAAGAAAACAGAAATGAGTTAAAGAACCTAATTAACTATGTATGGAAAGAAAGAATAATCTTATTCACACTACGTGACAGTCCAAGTGCAACACCAAGGAGTGGCCAGAAAATTATGCAAATTTCAGGGTAGGCGCACCTCATCGAGTAATGCAAATGCGGAGAAATGCGCTGTCTTCCGGTAAATATTGGGAAGGATATAAGGATGGGAACCTGCAACATGAATAATATTCATGCCGTTATTTCCGCCATTTTTTTTTTTTTTTTTTTTGTCTTGAAGGACACGAGTAATAGCAGAGAATGACAGGCCACCAGCAACATAGGCAGTTCTAGCAAGTAGATGAGTTTACGAGGGATGTGGTGATCAGGGCCGTCTCTAGCAATTTTGCCACCCCGGACAAAAATGGGAAATGCCGCCCCTCTATCCAAAGCAGAAGAAATTAAAAAGATAAATTTTTCACCTAGATACACACCTAAGAAACGTAAATAATTCTTGCGAACACAAACGCAGCATAATAATACATATATAATATTATTTTAAGTCAAATACAAAATAATTCGAAATTAAGAACATAAGTACCTGTTATTAATTCAAACGAGTAAAATGTAAGAAGGAAACGCCCATTTCAGCATACCAATTTCTTCTAAAAACAATCTACTGATGGCGGGGATCTCACAATCGTTTATTTTAATTTATAGTAACTACACTCATGACTAAAGAGATACGTCTACTGTGATTTTCTATCTATCAAAAACTCTTTTTGCCCCTGTTATGTTTTGGATAGCTGACACCGGACGTTGTATAGGTGAAAGTATATGTCCGTAGTGACCCCAATACGGGATGGGGAGCAAGTTACTAGTGAAAGATATGCAAACTTATCAAATTTCACTATTGATTATATAACCCCGCCTCTAACTCTTAAGTTTCAACATAAAAGGAAGCTGACATAAAACATGCAAATTACAAAATAAGAAAGTAAGATACAATAAATGAATTACCAAATTCATACCCAATAGTATTTCAAAAAATATATCAAATTTTTTGTAACAATATATATATATATATATAATTTGCCGCTCTGGGCAGGACTCCGGTTTATCCGGCCTTAGAACCGCCTCTGTGGGGATAGGACAGAAAAAGCAGGTTGGGTCATAGTTAGAATTCTGCGAGACAAGTCCGTGATGCACCGGCTGAGACAAAGTTGGTGTAAAGTTTGAAGTTTGCCGATATAACCAAAGCAACATTAAAACTCATGGCAATCCATGATGCATCTAGCGAAAAGCACTGACGGCCCCATAATACACTTTTGATCCCATATTGCAACATGTGCATGGCAACCTTGATATATTTTTATATCAACCAGAATCCTTCCTCGTCAGTTTGTGTGGTAGGACGTGTACAGTAGCCAGTGGCGTAACGTACACCCACGCAACCCTCACATCGGGGAGGGGCAAGGTTCTAAGGGGCTTTAGCCTGACTGATGCCAAGTTAGATCCCTTTGTAAGATCCGACTTTAGGCCCAAAACTTGACTTTGCAGGGGAGCCCTAATATTATCCGTTACGTCACTGACAGCAGCGGTTCTTAAGGTATCCGAACACGTTGAAAATGACAAAATTCAGTCAAGGCATATATTTTTGTTTTTTTATTTTATTGAATAGAGGTATCTTTTGGCTTTACAAAACATGTTTTGTTTTGTTTCTATTCTACCTAGAGGCCAAGCTACACAATCAATTTAATAAAGTTAGAAAAATCGGAAGTGGGTCTTTGATCTACCAGAAGTGAGCATTTAAATTATTCAAAATCTATCATGGCGAGTCTAATAACTCAAAACATTATAAATGTATTTCTATAAAATTTTTTGAACCTGATATTTATGTTATTTTCTAGAGGATGCGCTAAAATACTTATTATTGTATTAATACTTTTTGAGCTAGGGCTTGTTATTTAAATAATGGTCTCATAAAGAATGTGACTTTTTTTATAATGTTTACTCAATCAGCTCTAAAATTTTCAAATTTTAATAAGCCATTAAAATTTTTGTACATTCTCTATATAAATGCATCTAATTTGTTTTGGTAATACTTTTACTAATATAAGTTTATTACTTTTTTCTTTAATTGCTTTGAAGTTTTACAAAAATATTGCTAAAAATTCACTTATAATTGTGATTTTTGTGAAATTTGGGCAATTTATTTTAAATATTGTTGGTTAAATATTAGTATTTATTGCTATTGAGTCCTAAAAAAGCATTTATAATGTTTAAATGTGTTATTTTGTTAAAAAGTACTCCGAACGTGTTCGGATACCAGTTTTCAATTGCAGCCCCCTCTCCCCTTTATGTGTCAGTGTGACATCGCGAACCCCGAAGATTTTGAACAACCCTCTTCGAATTCTTGATCAAAATACAAGTTCTAGTAGAGTTTCTTCATTGGGGACTATTTAATAATCTAGTCTAGTATGGCTGATCTTTCAATTTTTTTTTATGAGATTTTTCAGAGTCTGTAAAAGAGGGAAACCTCAATCTTACATGAGAGATTCCACGGACCCCCAGAAAGACGCTGCGGACTCCCAGGAGTTCGTGGACCGCAGTTTAACCCTCCAAGTGGTCTGCACGTAAAATTCCGCCATTCCAGAGATGCTTTTTCTGCCTTCAAGCAAGATTCCCAAAAGCGGCCGAGCCGCATTCTTAAAAATATGGCTCAACCGCTTTTGAGAACCCCACCTGAAAGCAAAAAAATATGTGCGGTGCATTTTTGAAGCATCTCCAGAATGGCAAGACTTTAAGTGCAGACCGCTTAGAGGATTAGGAACCACTGGGGAACAGGATAGAAGAGATCTGAGGCGCGCACACGTTCCTTTTCATTTGACAAAGATTCATCAACAATAACTCTTGATGAATATATCAAGAACCCAAGAATAACGTTCATTCAAGCCAATTTAAACATCGGACAAGACAGCTAAAAAGGATAACTTAATTTGCAGGCATCCAAAAAGAAATGTTTGTTTGATTTGAATGAGATTTTGCTACCATACACGTAATGATAAACCATTTATACAGCACACCCATCCATACAAATTTAACTCTAAATAACAATCTAAAGAAGATAATAATTAAAGAAATTTTTTACAAGGTTTAAAAAAAAGGTTGTGTAATGAATAATAATAACACAGTATTTCTAAAAGTTCAAAAGTAACATGTTATGGATAAAATTGCAAATCATCTCTTTTATTGGATCGTAGATTAATTTTCAGTTTTGTTTTTCAGGGATAGCTTCTTTTTATGAAGTTGATTTTTATTCATAACTTTCGACATCGGGAGGTTGAGGGAAATTAATCGTACTTATTAATAATTAAGTTTTCAGTTTAAGTAATTCGTCTTCTTCAAGTGTCAAAGGTAGAGAACTTTAACTAGTTAGAAGGGAACATAAAATATTTTTTTTTTATTCAACAAGACCACATTAATTTTCTGTAGTGTAATAAGGTTGCATTCAAGAAATTACAATTAGAAATATTTTAAAATTTGCTTATTTCTTAGCTTACATTACATTAATATTAAAAAAAAAAATAAACGGAGAAAAATAATTTGAGTTTTTCTTGAGACTGAATGCAGCCAAGTCAAATGACTTGTCTGAGAGACTAAGTGAGACTGAATTAAGTCAATTCCTACTAAGGTCAACAAAGAAAAAATTTTTTTAATTATTTTTTATTAAATAGTTACAATTAATATAAATATGTACATACAAATGGCAGAATCACAATATTAAGTGACAAAATAGAAAGCGATTTCCCTTGCGATTTTCCATTTTTCTTTCTGTATATGGTATTGGACTATTTGTTGTGTGTTTGTTACTATTTATTTATTAATTAAAATTTAAATCATAAATTCAGAAATTAGGCCATCCCAGGTGGAATTCGAACCCACGACTGCTGGATTAGAAGTCCAACGCGCTATCCATTGCGCTGTAGGGACACAACAAGCGGTTTTCTTTTTAGACTATGGTGTTGGATTACTATTTTTATTTGTTACTATTTATACATTAATTAAATGGAATTAATGAATTAAGATTTGAAAAACTGTATTAACATCAAGTGTCATCCATTACAAGTTTATATATATATATATATAGGGAGAGTGTGAACTAATAGTAAGAATTGAAAAAAGTTAATATTTGTAACTCTGAAATATTGTTCTTTACAATCGGATTATGTGGTTATATAAATTAATCAAAAATGTATTGATAAAATACTAATATTTTCATTGGCTGAATTGAAATTCAAAAAGTCTCACTAAAAAATCGAGATAGCACTATGTGACCTTAAGATAACAGTTCTCTCACCCCTGCTCCATGAATAAACTTTATAGATTCTTATTTTAGAAGAAAGATTTCAGATAACATCAAATAAACATGCTGCTGAAAGGATAAATTATCTTTCAGCATATTTTATTTCTATATACTTTGTTACTTGGAGAAAAAAATTTCAATGAATTTCTTGAAACAATTATTGAAATAACTGGAGAGCTACTGTCCTGTGTTCACTTGATGTTGCCATAGCTTTCATACTTTTCCCATTGATAAAAATTTCAGGCTTATTTTTTTTTTCAGATAGTACTCATTAAATTAAAAGTTCAGATATTGAAAAAAGTTCTATTTTGTATCAACCACACGTTTATAAATCTCAAACCTCTTCAAAATATTAGTTTTTAAAGGAATTGATTTCATTATGATGCACAGAGACAAAAGTTTTTTTAAAAAAATATCATAACTAAACCAAAAATAAATGAAATTAGAAACACGTAAGCAAAAACTCACTTCATAGTGTAGTTCTTCCATTTTAAGTCAAAAATTTTCTTGTAAAACATTTAAAAACGTTTTGATTTAAGCCAGTGCTTCTCAAACTATCAATATTTGCAACTCAATTTTGACCTCCTCCGCCTTCCATACAATAACAATGTATTGAATTCAATTTCTTTGACATAAAGCTACATTTCGACTTTAATTATAAACCGTACAAAATATCAAAATAAGTATTATTTTTTTATATATGACAAGCTCATGGAAACACTGGTTATTATGAAACTTGATTTTAACTTAGTACTGTTAAACTAATTATCAAATACATTGGGCAGTACTGATCATTTATAAGAATATTATATCAGTGTAAATGCGTATTTTATTTTTTATCATGTCAGAATGTATTTTGTTTTGCTTTCTTTTATTAAATTAATTATATTTTTAAATAATATTTTATTTTCGACATGCTCACAGCCTTCACGTAGGGTTATCACGCCCCCCCCCC